TTTTTTTTTTTTTTTTTAAAGCACATCGTGTTTGTGTTTTTGTGGCCTCGGTTCCCATCAGGACTGTGTGGCTGGCTGGTGAGCAGTGCCTGATGGTCTAGTACCAGGTGCTGTCGGGCAACAAAGACAAACACATTTTTATGTGGTACATTTTTCTTTCTCACTGATATTTCTTGAGTCTACCTGATGAGCTCTTGAGTTATTTTCTTGGCCAACCAGGCTATTCTTATGAGCCGATAACTTTTATTACATTTGGTAATAAAATGTTTTGGTGTTATTTTACAGTTTGTGACGAAGGGGGAGAAAACTTGACAGCTGCCTGTGTTGCTCAGCACATCACTGGGTTTTATTAAAAGGCATCAATTCCAGGGGCGCCTGGGTGGCGCAGTCGGTTAAGCGTCCGACTTCAGCCAGGTCACGATCTCGCGGTCCGTGAGTTCGAGCCCCGCGTCGGGCTCTGGGCTGATGGCTCAGAGCCTGGAGCCTGTTTCCGATTCTGTGTCTCCCTCTCTCTCTGCCCCTCCCCTGTTCATGCTCTGTCTCTCTCTGTCCCAAAAATAAATAAACGTTGAAAAAAAAAAAAAAAAATTTAAAAGGCATCAATTCCAAAACTCAGTTATGGTTTCTGTTGTGTATGTGGAGCAGAGCAGTATGCGTTCCGTTTTTCCCTGTGGTGATTTTTCTGCTACAGCGTCTTTATTTTACTTCCTAGCAATTACCAGTGATAACATCAAACACCATCGTGAGGTGCCGGTCGTGTCGAACATATATCAACCCTTTTGTATCCTTCATTGATCAACGTAGATGGAAATGCAATTTGTGCTATAGAGTTAATGATGGTGAGCTTCAGATTCTTAAAATAAGTGTGTTTAATATTATTTTAAACATTTTGACAATTTTGTCATTATCTGGTATCTTTCCTCATTGCTTCAAAAACTTTTGAGCCCCTTTTAATGGAGAAAATGTAGGCCAGGGACACTTCATCTTGGCTGGCCCGGGGATAATTGATAATAAGCAGAGTGACAGTAAGGCCAAATAAAAATAATATTCACAGAACAAGCAGTGAAGGTCATGTAGACTAACTGTGCTTGATCCTGCCAAGTTAAGATTATCTTCAGTTTCTACATTACCAAATATGATTGGTCCATTAAAGCAAGCATACGTTTTTACCAGTATGTGTAGACACGTGCCTACCAGCGTGTCTGTCTGGTTTCCCTTTAATCATTTTTTAGGTCCTTGTAGTATAATTGCTTTCAAATTTGTGTTTCTGTCTGATTTCTTTTCATGTCATGTGATATAATAAATAGGACACAAGCCTGGGAGAATCAAGGTTGCCCGTGTCCTGGTTTCCTCACTTGATTTCACTATATGTTTATTTTATCTTGATATATTTTTTAAGGAGTGTTTTTACCATTAGATGTTCACAGAACTGTTGAAACTTGATACAGATACTGACGAAGGTGTTTATTTCTTGGTATGTACATGTGTGTTTAGTTACAAAACATACTACTAACTTTGTACTGGATTTCTGTTTGTTACCTAGTTCCTGAAGAATTTATGTATAACCCCCTAACTCGATCTTATGGAGAGCCTCATAAACGACCAGAAGTTCAGAATTCAACTGTGGAATTCATTGCTTCTTCAGATTACATGGTAACTACTCAGTGTAAAAATTAGCCATAGGATATAACTGTATTGGTCATTTATAATTTTCTGTGAGGTAAATTCTTGCAAAATTTTGTATTGTCCCCAGTATTAATTTTTTACAATAATACTGAAAGTTTATACTTAACAAATAGAAAACTTTTTATAAAGGTTACTTGATGTCCTAAAAGAATGCAGTTATGTCACTAAGAAACATTAGTAAAATTTTGTGATAAGCACTTACATTTATAATTTGTTGTCATTTTGATTTGATTACTGTCATGGAATGAATATAAATATCCTTTTGCCATTTAATATTTAAGACCTTCAAACAGAAAAACTCATGTTTTTGCCAAAAACTGCAGTTTTCCGGCTCTTAAAGATATCACCATCTTACTGGTTCACCCAGTACAGATATCAAGATAAATGGATATCGACCTCACTTTAATTTTTCTCTCTCCAGTTCATCACAAAATTCTACTTGTTCTTTAATTATACTAGTCCTTTAAGATCTCATTCTTCTTTTCTATTTACAAAAATGAATTCTTAGCTAAAGTTCTCCTCTTTATCATATCTATTCATTTTAAATGCATTTATAATAACCTACATTTCTTCAGTATCCTCATTACTAATCTTTGTCGCCTGCAAAAATGTAAGGTGTTGCTAGTGGGGAAAGGTGAACAGGGACAGTTAATGTGTATTAAATTCCTGCTGTTCAACCCATCTCTCTCTTTATTTTTGTGATTTTTATGGTCCTTTGTGTCCAGTTTAGTATCTCCCCACTTAACTACTATTTCCTTGTCTGTTTCCATATATTAACTTTTACTTTTGGGCACTTTTACTCTGAACTTCTTGCCTTCTTTACAACTTACATTCCCAACTCTGTTATGGCTCCTTAGGATCTCAATCTAATTGAAGTGGTGAACCAAGAAGTTAATCTTTAGTTTTTGCCATATGATCTTTGGTTGGCATATTAAGAAAAAAAAAAAGATTTTATATATCCTTTTAATTTTCTATAGCAGTAATTTTTCAAGCCTACTACAAAAAAGAAATAATAGTATAGTAAGCCATTATTTACCTATCACCAAGCTTCAACAGTTAGCAACATTTTGCTAAATACATTTCATCTAAACCCAGTCCACCACAGTGTTCCCTCCCCTCACCCACCCTGGAGTTTATTAAATGCTGATCCCAGCATCATATCATTTAACCTATAAATACTTCAGTATATATCTCTACCAGATAATGACTTAACATACTTAGAATATCATCACAAGCACTTTCTTTACACTTAGCATTTAATACTTGTGACTTAGCCACCACCAGGTGACCCAACAGCTAGTACTAATGGCTACTACTATCAGTTGTAAGATTCTAAAAACTAAATATAAAAAACAATGTTTTTCGGAGTAGGGAAGGGATATAGAGGTTCACATTAAATAGTAAATAAGCTTAATTTTTCTTTGAAAGATAGCTCAGCACTCTATCAGGAAGACATTTAGCTTATTTAACTATTACTGTGTAACAACTACCTTATTATGCTTAATCCATAACCAACTTTATAAGAAAAAAAGGAATGTCATTTTCTTTAGCACATTAAATCTTACAAAATATCAATCCTATGTGTGTATTTTTTTGTGTCATCAGTAAATATCCAGTGGTAACAGTGGTATGAAAAGAATAAACTGTGCCTACTAAATAAATTACATTATTTTTATTCCTTTCAGCTTCGTCCTCCTCAACCTGCAGTTTACTTATTTGTTTTAGATGTATCTCATAATGCAGTGGAAGCTGGATATTTGACAATTTTGTGCCAGTCGTTGTTAGAAAATCTAGACAAGTAAGAAATATTTTTACTCATAGTGTGTTTGTGTGTGTACAAATATATATAAATGTGAAGTTTATTAGCAATTTATGGGGTTCGTTTTTATTACAGTTTGACTTCATTTATCTATCACTGCACAGTACTTCTTGTCCACCTCAGACCAAGGATCCTGCTACTTCAATTATTATGATCTATGACTTGGTGTCCAAATCATAAAATTGTAAATGTTTAATACTTGCTAAGGAATTTAGATCTCATCTAACTGTTCCTCTGACTTGACAGATCTGAACACTGACCAGGATATCAGGGATCCAGATGAGAGAAATCTAGCTGTAATTTTTGCCTGAGCAAGGAGTTTTTCATGAGTTTCAAATGTCCTAATGAGAAAATGAGCCAGATAAAAGGGAAGAAGGAATTGATTTTGTGCTGAATATTTCAGGAAGCCAGAAACCGAGCTCTTCATTTTGACACATTAGAAATGAGCTATATCGTGCAATTAGAAACAGGGTATAGGATATTGGCTCTAAATCCTGCCTAGTATTGGTCATGAAGGAGACCCTCAACTAGCTTCAAAAATGGACCTTCCAAATCTCTGGAAAACAAAGTAGTTTGTACATTTCTTTTTTTACTCCCCAAACCTACAGGATATATGACTTAAGGTTATTAGTAAGAGTGGCTCACACCTGCATTGGTTCTTGCCATGTGTAGAGGAGTAGGGGTGGTTATATATAAATACTTTGTCAGAAGTACTCCTGGTGATTTCAGAAGGTTCTCTCCCACCTTCCAATTGAGAATCCTTGCTCTGTTACCATAGTCTACATATCACTGATCTGGGCCTATGACTAGTGGATAACGTTGAGATAAAAATACCCAGAAACTTTAAATGATTTGCTTTTAGTTTCTTTTAGTAACTTAGAGTTTTCATAATTTCATCCTTGAGTGAAGTATTTGCCCTGTTTTTCGGCACAAGTACTTATTAATTCGGGTGTAGTTTCAGCAGTGAGTAGCAATGGAAGACTGCAAAGAAATAGTTTTAAAGCTGAAGAGTCAGCTTGCTGAAAAAGTATGAGGATATAACCCTAGAAACAGGAGCCTGTCCAGTGCGTGACTATTTGTGAGTTAAATAGACCATGCCAAACCAAAAGGATAAAATTGGGAATGGCAAATTATTTAAAACATAACATACAAATATATATATATATACACACACATACACACACACACATTTTTTTTTATTATTATTAAGCAGAAAATAGCATTAGGAAAGTAAAAAAAGAAAACATGTTTTTGGAAAGGGCTATGGATATAACTTGGAGAAAAAGCCATTTGATATGGAGCAATTGCATCTCAACTCTGAATTTTGAGCTTGGAGTAGAGTAGATAGGGAGTCTCCATTCTAATCAGTAACAAACAGCCCTAACACTCCATGACCTTAGAAATTTCAGAGGAATAAAGAATCATCTGTAGAAACATCATAAATCTTGACCAGTATTGGTAAACTAAACACTCATAACTTGGTGCATTGTTTTCTGAAATTTTCTTTGACTTTGCAGACTATCTGACTGGCCTGATCAATCATGCATAACAGTAATAATGTTTCTTGTTTTTGATGTACACTGTTTTGGCATCCTGTGATATTCAAAAATATTTTAAAAGCATTGCTAAAATAATAAATTATATAACAGCATTTAACATAGTGGTACTTAAAAAATATTTTTGTAAGATGAAGCATCCATTTTATCAATAAGGAGAACCTGACGGGCAAAGAAATGGTCATTTATTCTTTTTTTTTGTCATGGCATTGACTCTTGAATACTGAGTTCTTGCAGAAAACTTTTAAAGGACTGATAATAGATAAAATGTCTTGATGTTCTTAAATGTGATTTTTATTTAAAAATTTCCACATTAAAATCTGATTTACAGGGGCGCCTGGTGGCTCAGTCGGTTGAGCGTCCGACTTCAGCTCAGGTCATGATCTCACAGTTCATGGGTTCGAGCCCCGCATCAGGCTCTGGGCTGACCGCTTTCTCAGAGCCTGGAGCCTGCTTCAGATTCTGTGTCTCCTCCGGTCTCTGCCCCTCCCCCACTCACGCTTTGTCTCACTGTTTCTCAAAACTAAATAAATATAAAAATAAATAAATAAATAAAATAGAATTAAAAAATAAAATCTGGTTTACATTAATTACATTGTCTTTTCTTGGAAAGTACTCATTTGTCATCTGCCCTTAAACAGTTTGAGCTACATACACTCTTTTTGTAGCATTGGAACTGAAAATATGAGTAAGTGTTTAGTTAAAGGAGTGTGTGCTAGAGGAAAGTTAGTAAGAAATCTTTGATTTTTTTAATCATTTTTAGTTTTGGTTTATTATTTGAACATGGTTCAGTTTTCTTGAGTATTAGCTCTAAACACGTTGGTTTCATCTGAAAATGGGATGTTTCATCTTTGCTCTTTTCTGATGTATGTTGGTTTAGAGAGGAATAACTTTCCTCTATGAAAAAGCATGTGTAATATTCTTAGACTTTGTTTACTATTTCATTATTTTTTTTTAATAAAATATGTTACTAAACACTTTGAATTTAAAATTATCATTTTTATCCTTAGGCTTCCTGGAGATTCACGAACAAGAATAGGGTTCATGACCTTCGATAGCACTATTCATTTCTACAATTTACAAGAAGGATTATCACAACCTCAAATGTTGATTGTGTCTGATATAGATGGTAAGCAGTGAATAGAAGTCTTTGTGACTATAGATTTTTGAATTGAGGCTACTGTATTTGACAATACATCCTGTCATAGTGCTGTAAGGATAATTTGGTGCACTTTGATACTTTAAAAAATTTTTTTTTTCAACATTTATTTATTTTTGGGACAGAGAGAGAGACAGAGCATGAACGGGGAGGGGCAGAGAGAGAGGGAGACACAGAATCAGAAACAGGCTCCAGGCTCTGAGCCATCAGCCCAGAGCCTGACGCGGGGCTCGAACTCCCGGACCGCGAGATCGTGACCTGGCTGAAGTCAGACGCTTAACCGACTGCGCCACCCAGGCGCCCCCCACTTTGATACTTTAAAAACAGTTTCCTGGCGAGGTGCCTGGGTGGCTCAGTTGGTTGAGCTTCCAACTCTTGACTTTGGCTCAGGTCATGATTCCAGGGTTGTGGCATCCAGCCCCATATCAGGCTTTGTGCTGAGCATGGAGCCTGTTTAGATTCTTTCTCTCTCCCTCTGCCCCACTCCCCCAATTCATGCTTTCTCTCTCTCTCTCTGTCCTTCTCCCTCTCCCTCTCTGTCTCCTCTCTTCTCTCTCTCCTCTCTCTCCTCTCTTCTCTCTCTCTAGATAGATATAGTTTGTTTTCTGGAACATATTTCATTCTAAGTTTTCTATGTCTGTGTGTGTACTTATATGTGCACACACATATGTATAATATATATTTAATAAAGCAGTATCATGGTTCCCATTATATATACGGCCTGTTAAAAACTAAGATTTTTAAATTTATGATATTCTTTTGACTTGATTTATCTCTTGATTAAAATATATGTTTTCCCTTTAGATGTTTTTCTACCTACACCGGATAGCTTACTTGTGAATCTGTATGAAAGTAAAGAGGTGAGATTGACTTTTCTCTTAAAGTATGAAAATATTTCTGTTATTTTAACTGTTTACTAAAATCCTTAACATTTGTTTACTTAGTATATTAATATTGCATAGACAATGTAGGTAGCATACTTATTGGCCCCTTAGTTTATATCCCCTAAGATACAGTGGTATATATTATACTCCAGAATGTTTTAAAGAAGAAAATTGCCTTGGCCTCTGAGTAATTCAACTTTTAATCTTTGTTTTCCCAGCTTATAAAAGACTTATTGAATGCATTACCAAATATGTTCACCAATACAAGAGAAACACACAGTGCCCTTGGTCCTGCGCTTCAGGCTGCCTTTAAATTAATGTCTCCAACAGGTGGCCGTGTGTCTGTATTTCAGACACAGTTACCTTCCTTGGGTGCAGGACTTCTGCAGTCCAGAGAAGATCCTAATCAGAGATCAAGCACAAAGGTATTTTAGATTTGGTTTCTCTGTCATGTTTAAGATTTTGTTTTGTACCTCCATAGCCCGTGTAATTATTTGTTCGTTATTCTGCTTTTTTACTTCATTGATAGTAAAAATCTGGTGAGAAAATGTATCATTTTGCGTTCTTTGTATTACTTTCTTTGCAAGTCATAGAAATTTAAAAATAACTTACTCTAATCCTTTCATTTTACAGATGAGGAAAATAGATTAAATTTGCCAAAGGTTAAGTAACTAATGGTGAAGGTGTGACTTGATTTTCTGGCTGCAGTTCTCTTTTCTGTTATACAACTGATAATACTAAATCTGAGATATTACAATTTAACATGTTCATACTAATAAACATTTAAAAAAAATTTTTAATGTTTATTTTGAGAGAGACAGAGTGTCAGTGGGGAAGGGGCAGAGAGAGAGCGGGAGAAACAGAATCTGAAACAGGCTCCAGGCTCTGGCTATCAGCACAGAGCCCAGTGCGGGGCTCGAACTCGGGAACGGTGAGATCATGACCTAGGCTGAAGTCGGACGCTTAACCGACTGAGCCACCCAGGAGCCCCCATAAACATTTTAATTATAAAGATAATACAAACCATTGTATAACAAGAATAAACCATCAGTAATCTTTACTATCAAGATAATAGCATTTAGGGGTGCCTCACTGGCTTGGTTGAAGAACATGTAACTCCTGATCTTGGGGTCTTGAGTTTGAGTCCCATGTTGGGTGTAGAGATTACTTAAAATCTTTAAAAAAAAAAAAAGATAATAATGTTTATATAAACATATACAAATATGCATAATCAGGCATCATACGTATATAGTATATGTTTTAACTGACTTTTTTTCATTGAGTACATTGTGAGCATTTTCTGAGGTCCCGAAAATTGTCTTAATTTTTTTTTTTTTGAAAATTTTTTTTTTCAACGTTTATTTATTTTTGGGACAGAGAGAGACAGAGCATGAACGGGGGAGGGGCAGAGAGAGAGAGAGACACAGAATCAGAAACAGGCTCCAGGCTCTGAGCCATCAGCCCAGAGCCCGATGTGGGGTTGAACTCACGGACCGCGAGATCGTGACCTGGCTGAAGTCAGACGCTTAACCGACTCCGCCACCCAGGCGCCCCTGTCTTAATTTTTTTTTAATGTTATTTATTTTTGAGAGAGAGAGAGAGAGAGCACAAGCAGGAGTGGTGCGGAAATAGAGGGGGACACAGAATCCAAAGCAGGCTCCAGGCTCTGAGCTGTCAGCACAGAGTCCAACACGGGGCTCAAACTCACGAACCTTGAGATAATGACCTGAGCTGAAGTCAGAAGCTTACAACTAAGCCACCCAGGTGCCCCTGAAAATTATCTTTAAAAAATATTTTTTAGAGGCACCTGGCTGGCTCAGTCAGAAGAACATGCAACTCTTGATCTCAGGGTCGTGAGTTCAAGCCCCGCTTTGAAGGTAAAGATTACTAAAAAACATAAATAAACTTTCAAAAATAAAGAATATCTTTTAGTAAATATGAAAGTACTCGATTTAATTAGTTGCCTCCTAGCTACTGAACTGTTGTCTCCAGTATTTTCTCTATTAAAGAAAATACAAAGAAAAACAAAAGACAAAAACTATGAGACTGAATATTACTTGGGTTTTACATGAAGATTTGGTCAGAATATTTTAATCCCTTGTTTCAAATAATAAATGAGCTAGAATAATCATTTTTGTGCTGTGTATAAGTTTTATGTGACCTCAAGGGAATACTATTACAACTAATTGTGAGTCTGAACTAAACAGTTTTAGTAATGCCATAAACATTTAGCCACATATTTAGTTTTTCCTTAGGAAAAATTCCTAGAAGCGAAATTATTGGGTCAAACTTAAGTTATTAAAGTGTTTTGCTTGCTTGGGGTTTTTCTTTTCTTTCTTTCTTTCTTTCTTTCTTTCTTTCTTTCTTTCTTTCTAATCAACTGCATCCTTAAGGACTCTCAAATCTTCTAGCCATTATTTTTACTGTTTTTTTATTCTTCATCAATTTGCTAGAGAAAAATAGTGCCATATTTTACTTATTATAGAAACTCTATTATTAGGACGGTTTTTTGTTTTTGTTTTAAGTAGGCTTCATGCCCAATGTGGAGACCAAAGCAAGTTTTGAACTCACAATTCTGAGATCAAGAGTTGGGCACTTAACCAACTGAGCCCCCCAGGCATCCCTGAAACTGCATTTTTTAAGTTGTTTTTCAGAAAAAATCTAATTTTAAAATAAATTAGGGCAAGTGTATTTTTTGAACTCATCAAGTACAGCTAGCATTCAGTTCATTGATCTATTGCAATCCATCATAGAATACTGAGGGGTTTTGAACAGAGGAAGGTGTTATGTGTTACTGAAGTCTCCATTGCAGTTTTGTTTTATTTATCTCATTTAACTTTTAGAAATACTCTTTATTTCCTGGGACTCAGAAGCTTAAATACCTGTTCTGATATACATATTTCTTCATGTCTGAGTAAACTCTAATATAGTAATCATACATTATAATTAAGAGGATTGAAATATTTTGTTATGCAGTGTAGCATAGGAGTTAAGAATTGGAGTCTGACCCTTGCATTTTTAACTCTTCACCAGTGCTACCTTCTCAGCTCAAGTGTCCTCATGCCAATAGGAAAAACCTTCATCAGTCTTTGATTCCGTCACATTGTCATGTAACAGTACACAGTAATGGTTAACAGCACTCACTCTGGAGCCAGAGCCAGACTTCTCAGTTTTATATTCCAGCGTCCGCCACTCAGTAAACACGTAATTGGTTGTTACTTAATCATTTTTTGCCTCAGTTTCCTCACCTGTAAAATGTAGGTAACTTCAATTTATTTAAAACGTCTCGAACGGTCCTTTATTAGTGCTTTATAAATGTTAACAATTAGTCTTGTAGGATCTATGCCAACTACCTAGATGTTTCAAAAACTTACTTAGTTTGATAGGAGGACAAAGTATCATCTTCGTTACTGTAAGAGATGTAGAAATGTGTGCGTAGCGCAAGGCTTCCAGCTCTTTCTTTATGGCCTGTTGACTTAGGTTGTACAGCATCTTGGCCCTGCAACGGATTTTTATAAGAAACTGGCTTTAGATTGCTCAGGGCAGCAGACTGCAGTGGATCTGTTCCTCTTAAGTTCACAGTATTCTGATCTTGCTTCTCTAGGTAAGGAGATTCCATGTTCATCTGTTTACATAAACATTTTTAGCATATAGTCAAATCTAAACTCTTTAGTAAGGGTTCTCTATTTGGGGATAAAAAGCATGTGAATTAGATAGATGATATCTGTGAAAATTACCAGTAACTGTACAGCACTATACAAATCTAAAATGCTATTACTATTTGTTTTTAAAATCTAATTCCTTTGCCATTCTGCTCAACAATAAACCCTATCCAGATATTTTACAAATATTTGTGTTTTTGCAGATTTGTATTTTTTTACTTTGACAGCTTAGGCTTCTTCCTTAAGACTTAGATTTTTTTCATGATATAAAAATCTGTACTATTGTTGGGCAAGTAAGATATTCCTGGATATTATTATAGGATATCATTGTTTCTGTAGCTAATATTTTTTATATTTCTCTCTAAAGCTTGCGTGTCCAAGTATTCTGCAGGGTGCATCTATTATTATCCATCTTTCCACTATACTCACAATCCTTCACAAGCAGAAAAGTTACAGAAAGACCTGAAACGGTATCTCACAAGAAAAATTGGGTTTGAAGCTGTTATGAGAATAAGGTGTACTAAAGGTATGAAATTACAAGAATCATGCTTTATATTACATACTTTTGTCAAAATTACTTTGACTACCTATAATGATTCTTCATCATTCAGGACTCCCTGCTTGAACCAGTCAGCTATAAGCTGTTTTAAATGTATATAGTTATTGAATAATCATTGCCTAATTTCTTAAGTAATTTGAATAAATGAGAAAAAGTAATGTTTGCTTTATTAGGAAGAACCTAAGAAAAAGCCATACTGGAGGTGATTTTAGAAGGAGAATTAGAGGAGTAGGGAAGATCACAAATGAAAATTGTTTGATGAATGATCTTTGCCTTCATAATCGTTCAGTTAGTCTTCAGTTTGCATTACCTCAGTTTTATGTGAATGTTTGCTGGAGGGATTCTCATCCCTAATTTTACTTAAAAAAAATTTTTTTTTAATGTTTATTTTTGAAAGAGAGAGAGACAGAGCATAAGCCGGGGAGGGGCAGTGAAAGAGGGAGACACAGAATCCAAAGAAGGCTCCAGGCTCTGAGCTGTCAGCACAGAGCCCAACGCGGGGCTCGAACCCACAGACTGTGAGATCATGACCTGAGCGAAAGTCAGACCCTAAACAGACTGAGCCACCCGGGCGCCCCCCCCAATTTTAATTCTTAAATGAGTTATATAGTAACCGTCATTAGTTTCATTTTGTATATTAGATCTTTGTCTGACTTCAAATCATGTATGAGAAAATATAAGATTAGTTATCAATACAAGTTAAATGTATACTGTCTCTTTTATATAACATGCATTGTTTGTTAGTTTTGAATTGGTATTTTAGAACCTCTACTAACACCCTAATCCTAACCTTTTTGATTTAGAATCACAGGGGCACCTGAATGGCTCAGTCAGTAAGCATCTGACTCTTGATCTCGGAGTCTTGAGTTCAAGCCCCGCGTTGGGCTCTATGCCTCCAGCATGGAGGCTACTAAAAAAAAAAAATTCAAAATCAGAGACAGTTTTTACTTTAAAAAGGAGCTTTAGCCTGAGGTAAAGATACTTCTGTCGCTTTATCTTTTATAACAAGTTTTCTCTTCCTTAGGTCTTTCAATGCACACTTTTCACGGAAACTTCTTTGTCCGTTCCACTGATTTGTTATCCCTTGCCAACATCAATCCTGATGCTGGATTTGCAGTACAGCTGTCAATCGAAGAAAATTTGACAGATACTTCCTTAGTGTGCTTTCAGACAGCTTTATTATATACATCAAGCAAAGGTAATGTTAATAGATATGAAATATAATCAGCCGTAATTTCCCCCTCCTTTTACATGCTGGTGGAAATGGGGAGAAAGAATGAATGTACAGTGGGAGATAAATGGAATCTGCATTAGTTAATCAAATATATGTTCTGTTTTTTTTTTTTAACTCATTTTGAATCTTTAATATCATTATGTTGTCGTTGTTGTTTTTGTTTTGTTTTGTTTTATTAAGGGAGAGAGTGAGCACACAAGCAGGGGAGAAAATCCCAAGCAGGCTCCACGCTCAGTGCAGAGCCCGATGCAGGGCTTAATCCCACAACCCTGGGATCATGACCTGAGCCTAAATCAAGAGTCAGACACTCAACCAACTGAGCCACCCAGGTGCCCTCTTAATATCTAATATTTAATATTTTTGACTCGTGGAAGTCATGGATTCTCAGTATCGTATGTGTCTGGTAAACTCATGCTAAATCCAGCTATGTCATCCTTAGCATTATTTTTTGCCCCATAAAATAAATAAATCTGTATATCATGTAAGACCCATGTTAGTTACTTGACAGTCAGGTTTTCTGACATTTTACTATGCTGTATATAATTTACAATGATTGATATTAAACTGAAAACCAGGAGGCACCTAGGTGGCTCAGTTGGTTGAATGTCCAACTCTTGATTTCCACTCAGGTCATGATCCCAGGGTCGTGGGATCAAGCCCCGTGTCAGGCTCTGCACTGAGTGTGGAGCCTGCCTAAAATTCTCTGTATCTCTACCTCTGTCCCCCTCCACAGCTTGTGCGCTCGCTCTCTCTCTCTCTCTCTCTCTGTCAAAAAATTAAAAATAATAAAAAATTTAAAAATAGGGGCGCCTGGGTGGCGCAGTCGGTTAAGCGTCCGACTTCAGCCAGGTCACGATCTCGCGGTCCGTGAGTTCGAGCCCCGCGTCAGGCTCTGGGCTGATGGCTCAGAGCCTGGAGCCTGTTTCTGATTCTGTGTCTCCCTCTCTCTCTGCCCCTTCCCCGTTCATGCTCTGTCTCTCTCTGTCCCAAAAAAATAAATAAACGTTAAAAAAAAAAAAAAAAAAATTTAAAAAATTTAAAAATAAAAGCCAGAACCTAATGCTCAACTGTATACAAAATATATATCACAATCTATAAATATGGGGAGTGTTTGATTTTCTTTAAAACCCATTACGTGTAAACTTTGTTTTTACATTTCAGAATCCTGTTGGTTTAATTCAGTCAATAGTAACCTGAATACTGTTTTGACCTGTCTGCTTTATTTCTGTCTTGGTCTAGTGTGTTTTGACATTATTTCATCATTTCCTATAGGCGAACGGAGAATTAGAGTGCACACGCTCTGTTTGCCAGTAGTGAGTTCACTAGCAGATGTGTATGCGGGAGTGGATGTACAGGCTGCCATCTGCCTTCTGGCAAACATGGGTGAGTAAGAACGTGGACGACTTGGATTCTTCTGTCCTAAAAGCTGAAACCTGGACGTTTTTTACCCTAGAAATTACTTACTTAGAAAGTATATGTTTTACATCTTCACTTACAGAAGTGTGAATTGGACTGTTCTTATATTTCTTATTAACTCTTTAGTTTAAAACCTCCTGGGGGATTCATAATCACTAAAAACTGGTAACAACCCAAATGTCCTTCAGTTGATGAATGTTTGAACAGACTATGGTGTATCCATACCATTAACTGTAACTCAGTGATAAAAAGAAATGAATTGTTGATACGTGAATAGACATGGATGACTCTCAGAGGCATCATGCTAAATGGAAGGGAGCTAGCTTCAAAGGAGACAGCTGTAGACATACTCATATGACATTCTGGAAAAGGGAAAATTCCAGGGGTGAAAAACAGATCAGTGATTATCAGGGTTAAGGATAGTGGGAAGATTTTACTACAAGGGGCCAGCACCACTGGATATTTTTGGGGTAATGGAACTGTGGTGTATTTTGATTGTGATATTGATTACGTAGCTGTGTGTTTGACATATAATCACCATAGAATTATACCCAAAAGAATAAATATTATTATATGTAAGTTTTAAAAAAAAAAGTCTTTTGGGGAATTAATATAATACTGGGAGTGTTGTTTTTAATGAATTTTCCTTTTTGACGTGAAATGAATCTTATTTTTCCTGTAGTCCTAGAGAAAAGTAGTCATTATTATCCATTTTGGGAAAAATTATAATACCATATACTAAAGTATCCCAGTATTTTATTATTTTATCTGTATTTCAAATTCAGTATGTTATAACTGATTGTTTTTCAATATAATTTTTTTTATTCAGTATAATTTTTATTTTTAATACTTGGGCATGCCTATAAGCTATCTCTAGTTTAATAAAATATGTGCTTGGAAGAAAATAACTTTCACACTGATACCTGGCTCTTCAGTGTCTGCATGAGAAGCTATGTTCAGTTGCCCTCTTTTTTTTTGTTGACCTGGAAATGCTTTAATAAAGAAAATTTTAGAGGATCACAAGGTATGACTCAGATAGCAGAACCCAGCATTGTTTATGCAAAAAAAAAAAAAAAATGATACTTTATACATGTGACTTCTACTGGAGAAATGAAAACATCCCTAGAGCTTTCTTGCTCAGATGTAAATGGATGGTACACATTCCCTAATATCAATAGAAGTTAAGCATTTTTAGATGTATAGAGACTAAAACCAAAAGGTCCGAAACAATCTAGATTTGTTCTGATTGACAGAATTGTTCACATTTACCTCACAAAAAATGTGTCATGAGTAGACACTTACAAAATGAAGGGGCAGGTGAAATGTATTTTTCTATCCTGAAAACAGTGTTTGTTGCTTTCTTAAGAAATGCATGTAAATTTTATCTCTTGTAGCATTCATTGGAATCTAATGGTGAAATACATTTTCATTTTGATTGCTTTATAGCTGTTGATCGATCCATCTCCTCAAGCCTATCAGATGCAAGAGATGCCTTAGTGAATGCTGTCGTGGATTCCTTATCTGCATACGGCTCAACGGTCTCAAATTTACAGCACTCTGCCCTGATAGCACCCAGCTCCCTCAAGCTGTTTCCTCTCTATGTTTTGGCCCTTCTTAAACAGGTAGCTCTCTGTCTACACTGTTACATTTCATAAAGATGAAGAAATGAAATCCAGGTTTTCTGTGGTTTTTCATATTTAACTAGACAGTTTTGCAGCTTAGCACCGGAAAATTTTTGAAAAACAGAAGATCAGTGGAAAATGAAAGTATATAAAAACAGGATGTTTGAAACCATATGCTCTCTTTAATATGTGGAAGCAACAAGGGGCACCTGGGTGGCTCAGTTGGTTAAGCGTCCAACTTTGGCTCAGGTCATGATCTCGCAGTTCGGGAGTTCAAGCCCCGCATCAGGCTCTGTGCTGACAGCTCGGATCCTGGAGCCTACTTCGGATTCTGTATCTCCCTCTCTCTCTGCCTTTCCCTGGCTCATTCTCGCTCTTGGTGTCTCTGTCTCTGTCTCTCTCTCTCTCTCTCTCTCTCTCTCTCAAAAATAAATAAACATTAAAAAAAATAATATGTGGGAGCAACTTAAAGAATGGTATGCTTTTATAGCACACTCTTAGTATGTATGTGCTTCTGGAACAAGACTCTAAGGAAAGGATATGCTGTCCATCGAAAATCTTTCCAAGTCTCAAGCACCATAATAACTGTTATATATGTATCATCTTATTTAATCCTTACCACACCCTAGAGAGGTAAGCATTTTTTTGTTTTTATTATGATAATAGTATAGCTTTGAGAAGCTAATAACTTGCTCACCTATCTACCTGTTCGATGTCAGAGCTGAGAATTTAATCCAGGTCTGTTTTGAAGGCCATGCTTTTTCCATGACTGTGATGGTATATATATTTGTTTTAATGTTTGTCTATATTTGTTTTATTTGAAAATATGTATTTTTTTCCTCGTAGAAAGCATTTAGAACTGGTACAAGCACACGCCTGGATGATCGTGTATATGCCATGTGTCAGATAAAGTGTCAGCCACTTGTTCATCTAATGAAAATGATTCATCCGAACTTATACAGGATAGACAGATTGACAGATGAGGTAGGATTTTTTAAATATATTTGAGCGTCTTGATTCTACAGCTAGGCTGCTAATGTTAGGTGCTAACAATTTTTTACATCTGCTCTTTCCCTATAGTAGTAATACAGTAAATGACGACACTAGCTGTAGAGTTGGTTGAACAGTAGGACTATTAGATACTGTCTATGGTCATGGAGTTTTCAAAAATAACGGGAAGTAATTCAGCTTATGGGTTTGGTTATATTTATTACAAAGTAAATTGTAGAGTGGACATTTCCATTTGTATTTGGTAGATACTGACTGTTCCTGATGTGATCAGAATGCAATTTTTGGTTTTGTTTTTAATTCCAGTATAATTAATGTATAGTATAATGTTATGTATAAGGTTCAGGTGTACAATATAGTGGATCAACGATTCTGTACATTACTCAGTGCTCATCATGATAAATGTACCCTTAATCTCCTTCACCTGTTTCCTGCATCTCCCCCCACCTTCCCTCTGGTAACCACCAGTTTGTTCTCCATAGTTAATAGTCTATTTTTTGTTTGTTCCTTTTTTTCTTCATGTTTTCTTAAATTCCACATATGAGTGAAATCATGGGGTATTTGTCTTTCTCTGACTGACTGACTTCATTTAGCATGATACCATCTAGATCCACCCATGTTATTGCAACTGACAAGATTTCATTCTTTTTTATGACTAATATTCCATTATTTATATATACCACTTCTTTATCCATCCATCTGTTGATGGATACTTGGGTTGCTTCCATACTTTGACTATTTTAAATAAATAAACATAGAGATGCTTGTATCCTTTTGAATTAGTGCTTTTGTATTCTTTGGGGAAATACCCAGTAGTGGAATTACTGGATAATATGGTAATTCTATTTTTACCTTTTTGAGGAACCTCCATACTGTTTTCCACAATGGCTGTACCAGTTTTCATTCCCACCGATAGTGTATGAGGGTTCCTTTTTCTCCACATCCTCGCCAACACTTACTTCTTGAGTTGTTGATTTTGGTCATCTGACATGTGTGAGGTGATATTTCATTGTGGTTTCGATTTGCATTTCCCTGATGGTGAGTGATATTGAACATCTTTTCATGTGTCTGTTAGCCATATTGGGTGTCTTTGGTGAAATGTCTTTTCATGTCTTGCCCATTTTTTAATTGGATTATTTGGGTTTTTGTTCTTTAAGTTCTTTGTGTATTTTAGATCTAACTCCTTATTGGATATGTCATTTGTAAATATCTTCTCCCATTCAATAGGATGTCTTTTGTTTTGTTGATTGTTTCCTTTGCTGTGCAGAAGCTTTTTATTTTGACATGGTCCCAACAGTTTATTTTTGCTTTCATTTCCTTTGCCTTAGGAAACCTATCTGAAAAAAATGTTGCTGTGGCTGATGTCCAAGAAATTGCTGTCTGACATGCCCTCTTCTAAGATTTTTATGGTTTCAGATCTCAGATTTAGGTCTTTAATCCGAGTTTATTTTTGTGTATGGTGTAAGACAGTGGTCCTGTTTCATTCTTTTGCATGTAGCTGTCTAGTTTTCTCAACACCATTTGTTAAAGAGACTGTCTTTTTCCCATTGCATATTCTTGTCTCCTTTGTCAAAGGTTAATTGACCAAATAATCACGAGTTTATTTCTAGGCTCTCTATTCCGTTCCATTGATCTATGTGTCTGTTTTTGTGCCAGTGCCATACTGTTTTGATTACTATAGTTTTATAGTATAACTTGAAATCTGGGATTGTGATATCTCCAGTTTTGTTCTTTTTTTTCAAGATTGCTTTGGCTATTCAGGGTCTTTTGTGGTTCTATATGCATTTTAAGATTGTTTTAGTTCTGTGAAAAATACTGTTGCTATTTTGATAGGGATTGCATTAAATCTGTAGATTGCTTTGGGTGGTATGGACATTTTAACAATACTTGTTTTCTAAATCCATGAGCATGGAATATCTTTCCATTTGTTTGTGTCATCTTCAATTTCTTTCATCAGTGTTTTATTGTTTTCCGAGTACAAGTCTTTCACCTCCTTGGTTAAGTTTGTTCCTAGGTATTTTATTATTTTGGGTGCAATTGTAAATGGGATTGTTTTCTTAATTTCTCTTTTTGCTACTTCATTATTAGTATATAGAAATGCAGTGGATTTCTGTATATTGATTTTGTGTCCTGTGACCTTTCTGAATTCATTTATCATTTCTAGTAGTTTTTTGGTGGATTCTTTAGGGTTTTCTATATATTGCATCATGTCATCTGCATAATGAAAGTTTGACTTCTTCCTTACCAATTTGGATGCCTTTCATTTTCGTTGTCATCTGATTGCTGTGGCTGGATCTTCCAATACTGTGTTGATGAAAGTGCTGAGAGTGGACATCCTTGTCTTGTTCCTGATCTTAGGGGGTGGAAAGAGCTTTCAGTTTTTCACCATTAAGTATGATGTTAGCTTGGGGTTTTCATATATAGCTTTTATTATGTTGAGGTGTGGTTCCCCCTGATACAAGTGCAATTTTGATTGTATTATAAACCAAATCTGGTATCCAATAGTTATTTTTAATATGCAAATTTATAGTGTCTTTTCTTTCTTGTGTTAAAACTCTATTCTTTGGAATCTTCTTTATTTTGTTACTAGAAAAATGTAAAAAAGTAGCTTGCTTTGCAGCAGATTTAATAGTCATACTTTTAATGTGTCCAGATCCCAGAAGGGAAGGAAACGGACAGATCATTTTACATATTCATGTTTTTTATCTTTGTAATTTGAATATATCTGAGTGTCTTGATTCTATAGCCAGGGTGGTAATGTATTATCAATAATTTTTTTGCAACTTAGAAAATTCTCAAGTGTCATTTTTTAGTATTTCATAAAATGCTGGTAGTAGCCTTTATGTTCCAGACTGTGATGATAGTTATATAAGTTCCTTCACGTTTCATCTCTTTTTTTTTTTTTTTTTTTTTTTTTTTTTTTTTTTTTTCTTTTCAGGGTGCGATACATGTTAATGACAGGGTCGTACCTCAACCACCTCTTCAAAAATTGTCTGCAGAAAAACTGACAAGAGAAGGTGCTTTCCTTATGGACTGTGGCTCTGTAAGCACCCTCTACTGATGATGTTTAACACTGTTCTGGCTGGCAAAAGCAGAAACACTTACAGAGGCCAGCTCTGTTATCGTAGGTCAGGCAGTGAAAGGTGGGATTAGGAACTGAGAAGCAATAAATTGGTACCTGGCACGAGCAGTCAATTTATTTTAGACTTTTCTAGTCAGATACCATTTTATTATTATGGATTATTTATTGTCATGGGTTATGTATACTTGATAAAGAGAAGTAAAGAGATAAATTCTGTCTAGCATCTAGAATCATTAAATTCAAAAGGACCTCAAGAGTCTTAGCAGTTTCAACTTCTCCCCATTGTCTGAGCCATTAGTGATTAGGAGTTCAGGAGAAGTCACTGGGCCAGATGGTGGTGAAGGGTGTCAGAATGATCAAGATAGCTTCATAAACGATACCTTATGAGCAGGAAAGGAGGGGTGAGGGAGAGCCCTTAGTTAAAATACACAGATAGTAATTGAAATAGTGGATAGGAGATACAGGGAGTCAGTTATCCTGGCTAAAGCACTACCTCCCTATTGGCGGAAAAAAGTAAGGAAGATGGTGAAATAAAATAATATTTTATGGAAAGTCTTGAAATTTAAGCAAAGAAGACATGAACCACTCTAGATTCTTGAATATGGATTCCAAATGTACCAATTATGAGTTTCCTTTTACTTTTATGTTTGTTCCTAATTTAAGATGGTATACTTTACCTCTTTTATGCTTCACGATTTTGAGAAAATTAGTTATAATAGGTTTCTGAGTACGGAGCTTTAATATGTTGTTGGGTTTTTTTTGTTTTAGGTTTTTTACATTTGGATTGGAAAAAGCTGTGACAATAATTTCATAGAGGATGTGCTTGGGTATCCTAATTTTGCATCAATACCACAGAAAATGGTCAGTGGGCTCTACACTTTTAACTTTTTGTATGCTTGTTTGTTTAAAATGTTCAGTGAGATCAAATTCACATACAATTCACCATTTTAATTATCATAAAGTCAACTCATTAGCTTTTAGTATATTTACAGTGTTGTACAACAGTCACCAGCACCTTAATTTCAGAGCATTCCCATCACCCCAAAAGGAAACCTATATTCCAAATTCTCCCCTCCTGCTTTCCCCTAGCAACCCCAATCTACATTCTGTCTCTGCAGATTTGCCTGTTCTGGACATTCCATATAAATGGAATCACATAAGATGTGGCCTTCTGTGTTTCGTCTCTTTTCATTTCTCATAATATTTTCAAAGTTCATCCCCATTGTAGCACATAGGAGTACTACTTCATTCTTTTTTTTAGTTTATGTGCTGCGGAAGGAAGCACAAGTACTTCATTCTTTTTTATGACTAAATAATAATTGTGTAGTTATGCTACATTTTTAAATCCAGTCATTCATTCATGGACATTAGCATTGTTTTCCTTTTGGAGTTACTGTGAGTAGTGCTACTGTGAACAATTTATGTACAAGTGTGTGTGTAAACATATGTTTTCAGTTCTCTTGTGCATACCTAGGAATGTGCATACCTAGGAATAAAATTGCTGGGTCATATGATAAACCCTAGGTCTGATTTTTTGAGGAACTGCCAAATTGTTTTCCAACAACTTTAACTTCTAAGTTTTTTTGCTGATAATAAACATAATTTTTTTCAGTGGGCCTTTTCTGGATGTGTATTAACCCATACCAAAGAAATATGATTCTGAAAATAGTTCTCTATTTTATTAACGAAAAGGCCTACTTTAAAGTCAGCGTAATTTTTATCACATTCTGGTATTGTTTGATTGATTGATTGATTTTATTTTGACACATTAATTCCAGAGTTCGTTTCTAAAACTCAACAAATGAAGGTAATAAGGAAAAGTTTAAGAAGAGGGAATAATGTCAGCAGAGGGGAAAAGCATATGAAGAATAAGTTGTTGTTGTTGTTTATTTATTCATTTTGAGAGACAGAACAGGCAGGGGAGGAGCAGAGGAGAGAGAGAATCCCAAGCAGGCTCTGCACTGTCCGCTCTGAGCCTGACGTGGGGCTCAAACTCACAAACCACAAGGTCATGACCTGAGCCGAAATCAAGAGTCGGACACTTAACCTACTGAGCCACTCAGGCATTCCTAGAAAATAAGGTCTAAATAAAATAGTAAACTTTCTTCCAAAGCTGTAGTTATTTAAGCACTGTGATAGTGGCACAATAAATATATCAGGGGCACAAAATAGAAATGGATGTAATTCATGACAAATAGAAGGTGGTAAAGATTGCATTTAAAGAAAAAAATACTAGAAAAATAATCTTTATTGTATTAAAATGGGTAGGGCCTTTGTAAGTCCGTGATGGAAAAGATTAATAAATCTGAGAGCATTAAAAAAAACATTTCCATGTGGTAAAATAAATAAAGACAATAAAATCAGAAGGTTATCTCTAACTCAGGACAGAAAAAGGGCTAATTTCTCCAGTATTAAAAGTTTTCTTACAAATCTTTAAGAAAAAGACACCCCAGTCCCCTCAGAAAAAAAGGAAAGGAAAAATGGGCAAAAGATTTGAATAGGCAATTTATAGGAGGGAAAATCTAGTAGTAGCCATGTGAAACAATGTTCAGCTTCAATCATAGTTAAAAACAATAACAGTAAATAAAGTTTTCTATTTAAATATTTTCTATTTAAATTTTTACTCTGTACTTTGAGTTATTTAGTTTACTATTAATTTGGCTTTGGAAAAAACTTCATCATATAACATATATATAACTTACATATATAAATATATTTATTAAATTTATAAAATATACTTATGAAAACATATAAGAATAGACTTTTTAGGTCTTTTAAAAATAATCTCGCACATAGTTTTAAATATGCATACACTGTTCTTTAGAATTCCTTGTCCTTAAATTTTCTTTTAAGTTTTATTTTAATTCCTATTTAATTCCTCCCTAATCCCCATCACCTATTTAACCCAACCCCACCTCCCTTCTGGTAATCATCAGTTCTCTAGAGTTAAGAGTCTGTTTCTTGGTTGGTCTCTCTTTTTTTTTTTCCCTTACCTTGTTTATTTTGTTTCTTAAATTCCACATATGAGTGAAATCTTAATAGTATTTGTCTTTTTCTGACTGGCTTATTTCACTTAGTTTATACTCTAGCTCCATCCATGTTGTTGCAGATGGTGAGATTTCATTCTTTTTTATGGCTGAATTATATATATATATACACCACTTTATCTATTCAGTCAATGAATAGTTGGGCTGCTTCAATATCTTGGCTATTGTGAATAATGCTGTTATAAACATAGGAAATGCTTGTATCCCTTTAAATTAGTGTTTTTGTACTCTTTGAGTAAATGGGTAGTGTCACTACTGGACCATAGGGTAGTTCTATTTTTAACTCTATGAGGAACCACCACACTGTTCTCCACAGAGAGTGCACCAGTTTGCATTCCCACCAACAGTGCAGGAGGGTTGGCATCCTTGCCAACACCTGTTGTTTCTTGTGTTGTTTATTTTAGCCATTCTGACAGGTGTTCTCATTGTGGTTTTAATTTGCATTTCCCTGATGGTGATGATGAACTCTTTTCATGTGTCTTATTGGCCATCTGGATGTCCCCTTGCCCTTAAATTTTAAGGACTAAAGGAAACATACAGTTCTCTGAGGATGACTGTTATTAGAAGAGGATGTAACAGGGGCGCCTGGGTGCCTCAGTCGATTGAGTGTCCGACTTCAGCTCAGGTCATGATCTCACAGTCTGTGAGTTTGAGCCCTGTGTCAGGCTCTGTGCTGACAGCTCAGAGCCTGGAGCCTGCTTCAGATTCTGTGTCTCCCTCTCTCTCTGCCCCTACCCTGCTCGTGCTCTGTCTCTCACTGTCTCAAAAATAAATAAAACATTAAAAAAAAAAAAAAAAAAAAGAGGATGTAACATACAACTGTTGAGCAGATTTGGAAATCAGCAATAGCCCCCTTCAAATGCATGTTTCCTTTAGATGAAACATAAAAGTGCAACACAATACCAGTGGCATATTAATCATGGTTTATGTTTTATCGACTTAGAAAAAATATAATATGCAGGTAAAATACCAGTGATATATACTTACCATCAAACATGTTTTTTTATCTTATCCAAAAGAATATAAACAGGTTTGTGAATAATTTCAATTTCACTCGTTTGATTGCTGCTTTATGGCTGAGGATAGAGTACTGGTGGTTGGTGGTAAGGGGAACGAATCATGATTTAGTTCTAATATTGCTGAAGTGTGTGAGAAAGGGAAATAATTTCCTAACTATGTTACTTTTACCAGACACATCTTCCAGAGCTAGATACACTTTCATCAGAAAGAGCGAGATCCTTTATCACTTGGCTTAGAGACAACAGACCATTAAGCCCAATTCTTCATGTGGTAAAGTAAGTACTTCTGTAACTCAATTATGAAATTGCCATATCCTGTGCAATCTGTGTGAAATTGCTTGTCTGCAAAGCAGACTTTAAATAATATTATGAAAATGTATTCTAGTAGAAGAATGCTGTTAATTGATAAATATCCCTTACGTTCCATTTTCCTAAAGTCCCCATGTACTGATTTTTTTTTAATGTATAATTATTCTTTTTAATAATGTGCATCTCTAGATAAATACCCTTTTTTCTTTTTCAGAGATGAGAGTCCTGCCAAAACAGAATTTTTTCAACATTTGATTGAAGACCGAACAGAAGCTGCATTCTCTTACTATGAATTTTTGCTTCACATTCAGCAGCAGATTTGTAAGTGAAGTGAAATTAAATTGAGTAAGAAGCAAAAGATCCGTAGCCTGAGTAAAGCGTACTCTGTCAGAGAAGCACACAGGCTGTTTGAAATGAAGGCATTTGTTGTCACAGGACACAGTGCGTAGCATAGCACCCCGAGGCTTTGGCAGAAGGTAAAGGGGAAGAAAGAACTTGACAGATTTTCTTCAGCCTGAATTAGTGGTCATGACGATGCTGTTTCACCAAGTATATTTTGAGTTGGTTTCTACACATTTTCAGTAGTGCAGCAGTACAGTGCCCTGTTCATTGCAAGCTGGCAAATTTATGTAGCTATGTGGAATGGTATGTCCTAATGTCAAGTTAGGTAAATCCCTTTTTCCTATACTTAATATAACATTTCTGGACTTGAAACTCTGACAAGAGATGCCAAAAGGCAGTGGTACCGTGTTACTTGTTTATATGAATTACTTTTTAACAAGGAATGATTTGTATTCATTAAATGAATTCAATATTTTCCCTGTAAAAACAATAGCATTTCAGTACATGAACTATAGAAAAATATATATAATGTACATAAATGTTACATTTGTAAAGAAAATGTAAAAATGTAACTACAAAATATGAATTGCTTAAACTGTGCTGCATCGTTGGATGACAACTCTTTTGTCACAGTTAGAGAATGAGGTTGACTAATGCATATGATGAATTGAGTCCACAAAAGAAATACAAAACTCTTTGTAATTCTGTTAAATCTTTTATGTGGATTTATTTATGATCAGCCTACTAATTAAAAATATTTTGCTTGACAATATTTGGTGTCTTTTTGTGTGTGGGGAGGGTTGTTGGTGTTACTTTTACATATAGGATATGTTGAATTTACTACTTGAATTTAGTAATATCTGTGAATCAATACGTTTTATTACTTTGTGGACATTACCAAGTACTTATTCTGTTTGTATTCTAAAAGCCAATGTTACTTTCAAAATACATACAAGTATTGACTAGGAATAACTTAATTTGTCTTTCTCAGTTAAATTAGGCATTTTTTTCCTATACATTCATAGCAAGAAAATTTTCATGACATAGTGACTATCCTATTTGTTAAGATTACCATCTTGAATTTTGAGAGTCATTTTATTCTAATGAAAAAAATCTCTCATTTACTAACAGGTTATTTACTATAAAAACTATTAATGATCTATTAGATCATTGAATGGAATTTTATAACTATAAAAGTCCCATCAATTAAGTTCAGAAGGAAGAAGGAACTTGGTGTGTTTAGTGGGTGATTTTTACTGCTTATGTATTTGGTGGCTCTATTTTCTTTAGATAAAAATAAACGTATTCTTCTCACATTCCTTGATGCAAATGAGAAGTTAAATGACTCACTCTAAATGACTTCACTAATTAATGACAGAGCTAATAGTAAAAACCAAATGTTCTCCCCTCCCACCACCTACTCCCATCCCAACCTCACCCCCAAGACTGTACTTGTCTCTGTACCATGATGCCTCCAGCAAGGGTGAATCTTATTGAACTTTAGGAAAAACTACAGTATTCTAAGGGCAACTAAATATTGTAATTTTACAACAAAAACTATCTTGTTTCTACTTTGAGAAAGAAAAAATCATTTGGATATTTTGTTACTCATTCAGGAGGTAATTTTAAGCACTTAATACTTGTCAGACTTTGTTCCAGGCATAAAACAAACAAAATCCCCACTTTCAAAGAGCTTACAGGCTAGGGTAATGGTGTGGAGGACTGAGAAAAAGACAATGTATTTATATGTCAGGTGTAATGAATGCTACAAAACAAAATAAAGCCGGATAAGGGAATCAAGAATGCTATTTTTGGTAGTAACTAGGGAAGGCCCTTCTGGAAAATGACAGCTGAGCAGAGACCTAAACCCACACAGGTGTCTGGAAGAAGAGCCAACCAAGCGGTAAGTGAATATGGCAAGTACCTTTGGATTGCCCTTGTTTTCTCTGTAAAAGAAGCAGCAGAGGGGCGCCTGGGTGGCGCAGTCGGTTAAGCGTCCGACTTCAGCCAGGTCACGATCTCGCGGTCCGTGAGTTCGAGCCCCGCGTCAGGCTCTGGGCTGATGGCTCAGAGCCTGGAGCCTGTTTCGGATTCTGTGTCTCCCTCTCTCTCTGCCCCTCCCCCGTTCATGCTCTGTCTCTCTCTGTCCCAAAAATAAATAAATGTTGAAAAAAAAAAATTAAAAAAAAAAAAAAGAAGCAGCAGAGTTACCAGCTGAGAAAGGGGGAAAGCAGGAGAGGCTTCAAGAAATAGTCGCTTAGGGGAGTGAGAGGTTCAATTGACCAGTGGCATGTAGTAGGATTGTCAAGCAGCACTTAGGACGTTGGGGTGTGAGTCTTGAACATAAAGTGGAACCATTGGGCTCAGCGGTGCCTCTTGCCTCTGGCCACATCCAGCTGCTTCGTGGAGGGTTGGACTTAAGCAGGATTGGTATGAGGAGGAATGGAGGAGCAAGGGAATTGAGGACACATGCAAGGGAGAGATTCATTTAAAGGAAAGGTGCACATGAGGCACCTGGGTGGCTCGGTTGAGCGACTTCAGCTCAGGTCATGGGTTTGAGCCCTGCATCAGGCTGTGTGCTGTCAGCTCGGAGCCTGGAGCCTGCTTCAGAATCTGTGTCTCCCTCTCTGCACCTCCCCCGCTCTCGCTCCGTCTCTGTCTCTCTCAAAAATAAACATTTAAAAATTTTTTAGAAGAGTATGGACACCAGATGGAATGAGCTGGAAACATAGGAAGTGATAGTCGGGATATGGAATGCTTGAAATTGAGATTTGGGGAAGTTTAGATTTTGGTGATGACAAGATCTAGGGTCTGTCTGTGGGAGCGGATGATTGAGGTGGTGTAAAAGATCACAGGAGGTGAAGAGGTCAGAACTTAGAACCCAAGGTTTTTAGATGGATCATTTATTCGACTGTTAAAATTTCCAAGGAAAATGACAAGAAATAGTCATAGAGAGATGGGGACTGTAAAAAAGGGAGCAGGGAATATGCTCTGGTGTGATGGCATGAGCTCAGAGGACCTGGGGGAGGCAAGGAGAAAGGATAATCTGGATGTCCACAATGAGGAGCTGAGGGGTGCCTACCTAGGGTTTGAGATAAAAAACAGACACCTCTTGAAAGGTTTGCAAAGGAAGTTGTGCCCTCAGAAGACAGCCAGGTTCATTAGAATGTGTAGGGACTGACATCAAGTGGAATGTAGACATGATGAGTTAATCCTCATGTGAGATGGAGAATCTCCTTGCCTCCAGGAGGGACGAGTCTGTGGCCACTTGTTTTGTGAAGCAGGGACTGACGAGAGGGACAGACGTGCTTACCAGGAATTCTGTGAGCCCCTTTTTAATTAATTGAAGCTGTCATTAAGTCAGAGGTTCTTAGTGTGTGTAGTGGGAACGGAAAGAGAATTTCCTGGGAGACCTTTTTTGATATACATCTCTTCTGCTTCAAATCATATTCACCATCTGGTAAGGGGTTGACCAGAGAGATGTATTTTAAAAGAGTATCCCAGGTAATGTGAAAAACTTCCTAATCCCCTGCTAGAACGACTGCTGAATAGGAACATACAATTTGATTTATAGAGCTGCTGTTTACATGCTACTTTTAAGGAATACTTCTATAGAACAAATCAAGTATAGTTCACAAATCAGTGGAAAAAGAATTATATTTTTTATACATTAACTTGTATTGCAAAAAAACATTTGGAAGCTATTTGTGGATATTAATCTGTTGTGGTCAACATGTGAGGCTATAATCTACACATATTAGCAACATGTAATACTAAGAAAACCATAAGTACTTTATTCAAACTAACTTTTTTTAGAATTTGAAGTAACTTTTAATTTTTTTTTTTTCAACGTTTATTTATTTTTGGGACAGAGAGAGACAGAGCATGAACGGGGAAGGGGCAGAGAGAGAGGGAGACACAGAATCGGAAACAGGCTCCAGGCTCTGAGCCATCAGCCCAGAGCCTGACGCGGGGCTCGAACTCACGGACCGCGAGATCGTGACCTGGCTGAAGTCGGACGCTTAACCGACTGCGCCACCCAGGCGCCCCAGAATTTGAAGTAACTTTTAAAGACACTAAAAATACTTTCAAAGCGCCTCCCCCCCTAAAAAAAAACCCTCACAAAGCTGAAAACACTGCAGATATTATCTAGGTGGAATCACTGATAAGTGAAAGAAGACTTTAAGTGGAAAAAAAAGCACTTAAGCTTTGGCATATGAAACAGATACCTCCTGAGAAATAAAAATGGTAGGTAGATATTTTATGATTCACTCATTTTTTTAATCTCTGAATTCAGAGATAGAATCTGTGTCAATCAGAAAATTGTGTCTCTTCCCGTCTGCCTTCTTATAATACCTGTGAGGCATGGCACATAAAACACGTGGGCAGGAAGTGTCCGTGTATATGGCTTGAGGGGGGAAGGTAGCGCAGCTAGGGGACACAGGCTATTGATGCATTGCCTTCTGATCGGTCACAAGCTAATCCAAAAATGAAAGCCATTTCTTCAGTTGCCATTAGTACTACACTTGATCTTAGCCAAAAGGCCGAGAAGCGATCTTCAGTTGCCATTAGTAAACAATGCATAGTTCTATAAATTTTCATTTCAATTTGGAGACCAAAAGTATTACTTATTAGTAACCCACTGAGTTAAAGATTGCTAAAATTCGTATTCACTCATTTGTGAATTAACAATCATAAACTGGTGTTATTATAATTTACTTGGGGCACCTGAGTGGCTCAGTTAAGCATCCGACTTCAGCTCAGGCCATAATCTCCCGGTTCATGGGTTCGATCCCCGCGTCGGGCTCTGTGCTGACACAGCTCAGAGCCTGGAGCCTGCTTCAGATTCTGTGTCTCCCTCTCTCTCTCTGCCCTTCCCCCACTTGGGCGCTCGCTCGCTCTCTCTCTCTCTCTCTCAAAACTAAACTTAAAAAAAATTTTTTTTAATAATTTACTGAGACTCTACTTCTATTCTCCTAATAAACCT